TATTTTTCAGTGTCTTCCATCTCAGATGTGGTGAGGAGATATCGGCGTGTCCTTAAACTGGTGCAGAGAGGCTTCAGGATGACCAAAGCTTTTAAGAAAGCTCATGTTTCCAGGAATGCTGTGAAAGACACTGCAGCAATTGCTGAAGTATTCCTGGTAGATAAAAGTGTCCTAGACCAGTTTAAGGGTAAAACACACTTTTAAAATTAGCCCAACTCTGTCAGAAGAAAATAGTCGGTGAACTGGCAGAAAAGATAGATGAAATGAAAAGGAACAAACAGCTCATCCCCTTTTCTGTCAGGTAATTCTGAATGTGGGTTGAGCGTTGTTGTTGTTGTGGGGGGGGAAGCTACTTTTGGGAAGTTTTCCTTCTCTAACTCACAGCGGGTATTTTATTAGCTGATGTGTATTCTTAATTTTAAGTTTGTACGCCTACAAAAAAAATATATAAGGGATTGACTGTTTCCACCAGAGGTTTATTCCTGGTATTGTAGAGAAAACTTTAAAATGTAATGTTAATACACAGTTGTGAAATATAGTCTATTGAAACGCTAAATGAACAGTTGAATAATGTATTTTCTTTTTTATATATATATATATATATTTTTTTTTTGATATATAGTAGTAAAAAAAAAAAACTTTTAAGTATCTTAGTATATGCTGTGTATGGTCAATCCCATGCCCTGCAGTTTTAGGCAAACTGTTAAGCCTTTTTGTATTCTATTTTTGCATTCTATTTTTGCGACCTGTTAATAATTACGTTTAGATGTAGGATTTTAGTAGGATTGAATGTGGTTCACAACTGTTCAGTGTTTTTACTTGTAGTGTATTATTAAAATAAAATAGCTTTCTTTCTCTGATATGCTGTGTATAATGTTTGTTCTACTGTGCTTTATAGCCTGGTATTGACTTCAGTTATCCAGTGTTTGTGATCAGTTGTGCAAAATATTTCTCTTTATTCCCATGTCTGTTGCATATAATTAGTGGATGACTGTATGTGTTCTGTTGATAGGTTATAGACTTTCTACTGTTCTCAACTGTTTTTCACTTTAATTGGATAGTCCTAACACATGCCTACAAACGCTTAGTGGAGAACCTACTAAAAGTATACTGATAGTCAACTCTAGATTAGTTGACAATCAACAGATAGTCAACTAAACTCTAAAGTTACTTATCTGTTGATCATCAACTAATGCTTAATGTAATAGTCAACTAAACTCTAAAGTTGCTTATCTGTTGATCATCAACTAATGGTTAATGTAATAGTCAACTGAACTTTAGTTGCTTATCTGTTGATCGTCAACTAATGCTTAATGTAATAGTCAACTAAACTTTAGTTGCTTATCTGTTGATCATCAACTAATGCTTAATGTAATAGTCAACTGAACTTTAGTTGCTTATCTGTTGATCGTCAACTAATGGTTAGTTACTTGTCAGTTTGAACGGTGCTGTTGAATGTCAACTGACACTTGTCAACTGATGCACTGTTGACATGCTACTAAATGTCAACTGATGACTTATAGAGTGTTAACTATGGACTATCAAAATAAAGTGTTACCAAAAAATGTTATTAATTGATAAATAATTGTGTATTTTTACCCAGACATAACATATTTGAAATCTTCCTTTGTAAGCTGCAACATTAGGCATGTATGCATCACTTATATTTAAAGTATGATATATTTTGTTGAAATAGCATTCTACATACATTACTAGTACTTGAATGCCGTTTACTCAACTGTTAGGGAATGTTAATGTGTCAAACATGCTAAGAAATAACAATGAGAATCCATGAGAGCGATCTGGTTGAAAGGAAAAGTACACTTTTTCGGTTGCTACTGCCCAATTGTTTTATTTTAATTTTATTTCACTTAATGTACACATAATGTCCCGCCCTCAGGGAAATGCCTTCTCCAGTAATTTGTTAGTAGCATTTCACGGGTAATATTACTGGCTATACTTAAATCGCAGGACAGGATGGTGTGTTGATAGAACAGCTTCTTATCGCGAGACGAGCCGGGCAGTCAAACTCATTACTGAAGCTGGATTAATGACTCCCTGCTTATTAAATAAATGTCAGTGAAGTAGATAAAGTAGTTATACCACAGTGTAGAAATACTTTAGGTTTAAATCTTGCATTCAAGTACTATTTTTTTTTAAACAATATGTTTACCTGTTAAGCCCCAACGACCCCGTCGGCGGGTCTTTTTTTTTTTTTTCACGACACTTCTTAATATTTTAAATATATATTTTCAAAAACTATGAATGTGTTATACCATTCTAACGGGAAAAAACTCAGCTAACTGATGATACGAGCCATTTTTACCGAAACAAAACACAAGTCTCACAAGAAGCGTTAGCATTAGCCCCTAGAGAAAACGGGCTAATGCTACTTCAGGAGCTAACTAGCAAAAACGATTTTTAATAATAATATGTTCTGCACAAACTACATATCATCTGAAAGCTGATACTCCACTGATTATTTTGATATAAGTATCATCACTGGATGACAAGAACTCACTGAGCTAGCAGCCAGAACATAGCAAATAAACAACATCAGTTTTCAAATCCATGACAATAATTAGGTCTTACCTTGTGATTTTTGTGATCAAAAGTTGTGTTCAACGGAATAAAAACGCTGCTCAAGGTTAATCCAATGTCTCTTAGTCACTTTAGAATTGTTTCTGATCAATCAATCCTTTGATTCATGGCAGAAAAGTAGGTACAAAGATTAGGGGTCCGTAGCTTCAGCTGCTTGACATGCAGTTTACGCATAGCTCCCCCTCCCCGCCGTAAAGTATTTACGTATTTTCCAACTGCCACTCGATTCTATTGGCTCTAACGATTCAAAAAAGGTGTAAATCACGCAAATCGACCAATGGGTTCCAGAGATAGGGTCCTGCGTAAGTGTACATCAGGCCAGTATGCTGCTTACCCCACACTCCTGCTACGTTTTTGACGCAGCAGAAACACATTGAGAGGAGCGCAGAGAATGGCAGATCAGCGGCACAGCGAGACAGCAGGATTATCAGCGAAAACAGCCGGATTTGTTTTATTTCTTCATTTGAACAATGGCAGCCAGAAAGAAGACTTTATTGTCCATCCAGGAGGCATTGGAAATGGTATTTGAGGACTCTCCGTCGGAAGATAGTGATCTTATCACGCATCGAGTGACTCCGATTATGAAGTTCCACCAACGGAAAGGTATGTAATCTCTCTGTTTGTATCTATTACTTATTTATTTGGTGTAAGAGTATTCATCTGTTTTTATCTTTTAGTTATTTATTTGGTGTTAAGAGTATTCGTCTATAGTAATTTCACACGCATAACCATAGAGTGGCGAAGTCCCTCCCCTTCCGGTTGAGCCCCATGGGACCTTATTTCGGAAAAGTTATGCATTGAAGACAATGGAGAGAGAAAGATTATCTTTCGATCCCGTTTGAATTGTGCCACGAATTACACATATGATGTTTGTCAATTTAAAAGATAATTTTGCAAGTCAAAAAAAAAAAAATGTGCCGTAAAACTGTGAAGTAACACATTTGTTTGTGTGAAACGCTAAATGAACTACATCTCTCGTCAACCACACACGTCACCAAGATGGCCGTCACTACTGTCTTGTCAACAAACGATTGACTATCACCACAATGAAACACGTCCTGAAGAATGTCATGCAAAGCCTGCCTTCCTTTGATTCTCTCTGAACTGCCTGGTCGTTTTAATGTTTAATGTCAACCATTTGTGCAGATAGCATGAAGTAGAAAAGATCGCCGATGCTAACGTTAGCGTTAGCATTTCTCCCCCGGAATTAAATGGTGTATTATAGAATGATCACACCGGTGACAGTACTATTCAAAGGGTTCACGAAATATGACTACTACACTTACTGTTTAACATTTTGGGTTACTTAATGTTACTTCATGTTAAGGCTAATAAAAATGACAAGGCTGTAATGCTAACTAACGTGCTAGCTACTAGCTAGGTAGCTAACTTGATCAAGCCACTCCTGGTCGTTTCATCAGACGGGAAGCAAAAGAACGAGCAAGACCCATTGCTGGTATAATAACAACCTGGTACTAAGCACACAGGCATCTTGTTAAAGTTATCTTATCTTAGCCAGCGCCATATAGATAGATTATATCTATATTGCGCTGATCTTAGGTATCTGAATGGTGGAGGTAAACAATTGTGACATCACTTACGCGACTCTGGGATTTGTAGTCTTTCTAGTTACGTATTTTTCATAGTCTTATATTTCAACAGTTTTACGACAAACTGTGACTTTTTTGACATGGAAATGATTTTTTAAGATTGACAAACATCATATGTGTAATTCATGGCACAATTCAAACGGGATCGAAAGATAAGTTTTCTCTCCCCATTGACTTCAATGCATAACTTTTCCGGAATAAGGTCCCATACCCTGGAAGTAAGTGGGAGGGACTTCGCCACTCTATAACACAACGGCATCCATCTTGTGATCTAATGTTATTTCACACATACTCAACAACAAACAAATAAAATGGATGCCGTTTATTGTTCAAAGACTAGAAATAAACAAGACAGTAGAAAATATACATGTTGAATTTAACACGGTATTATATATATATATATAAAATATACACTTACATATATAAATATATGACGGACGGAATATTAATATTAAATACTGAACAGATTATATTGATATAATCTGTTCCCCCGTCTCACATAATTTACATTACTGTTGTTGTAGAGAAATTATTTCTGATTTGAGTTACATTTTGAAAGTACAAGCCAGTGAATTAATCTATTTGTTTTCTTTTTTTTTACCATTTTATGGACATTCCCGTGAAGGAGCTGCACAAGAGGAGGGGTGACCCCGGCAGGACGAACCCACACACCCAGAAGTCCTTCAGGGAGCAGCTTGCAAAATAAATGGTTGAGTTTTCTGGAGACCCTGCAGCAGGACCACCCCGCCCACCAACCCCCACACCATCACTGACATGCATGCCCGAGCATTATGGGGAAGATGCCACCACGGTCAGGAGGTACTGCAGGAAGTGCTCTGATGCTGGCAGCAGAAGGGTGAAGACACCTGTGTACTTCAGGAAGTGTCAGGTCCCTCTGTGCTTCACTCCCAAAAAGAACTGTTTCAGGGCATGGCATGACTTACTGCAATAATACCATAACATTCAGGGTTGGTTTGTATAAAGTTTTGAGAGTTTTTATCACCCAATTTTTTTTTTTACCTAAAGTGTGGTGTTATTGTGTTAGTGCTAACATTCTTTTATATAAATCTGCTCCAGTTGGAGTCAAATGTTTCCTATGTTTCCTAATTTTTATTGTGCAAGTAAACATGCATCTCATGCAAAGAGGGAACTTCCCACACACCCACACACACACACACACACCCCACACACACACTTAAATATATTTTTTTATTTTTTTTTATTTTACAATAATTTTACAATCTTTTTATTTATTTTTTTATTTATTTTTTAATTTTTTATGGAATGAATACCTATAGTGATGATTCAATGTTATAAAATGATTTTTACTGTCTGGTACCTGAAAAAGGTCAAATGGCACTGATGGAACCAGACGTGCCCAAATGTGCCCAAAGCTTAGTCCGCCTGGACTGTTTTTCCCTAAACCTCTCTAAAAAGGTCAATTTTCACTTGTTTTGCCTCAATCTTGATACAGGGTACTTATTATTAGTTATACTTTGAATTCCCAAAGCTTTCAGGCTACTAACCCATCATTCAAGGGTGGTTTTCACTATAAGTAATGGGTTTTTTTTAGGCAGAGGTAAGAATTTACACTTTTTTACTATGTTCCATCTGAATTTTCTCTGACACAGAAACATCTATATTGATTCTGACACTTCTACATCCAACTCACAGATGTAACATTGCTTTGAGAAAAAAGATTATTAATTTAACCCTTTTAGAAGTGAAGTTAAAGTCATTTGTTCTGGGCATGTCATTTTCGAGCCTGAAACCTGAAAAACAGGCTTGGGGCTTAACAGGTTAATGTTTCATTCTTTTAAACAACATAGTTACAAGACACGCCATACCTTACGCAAACTTATATTTAAAAAAAAAATGAAAAACAGAGGCAAAGACAAGACAGGATCTAATAAATAAAATAGAAATATATAATAAAAATACATTAAATGAAATAAAATTCACATATCTATATTATGTTTTAGGATTGTGCTTGGATTTTTTTACATTTATTTATAATGAGAAAACCAGTGTACCTGGACAAAACCCAACTTTAGCTTATTTTACAATCTATTAGTGTGACGACCATTCCATTACTATCCCACCTCTTCCTTCAGTGTCTCTGTGTAGCTGCTCAGAGTAGAGTTGAAGAGATGTGTACTGGTGAAATGTAGTAACACAGATTATATACTGCAAAAAGGTAGGTGCATTGTGGAAGATTGTTTAAGAACATTTAATAAAAGAGATCAATATTAACCAATTCAAGCAATACATTTTAAAAAGGCCTTATATTGTATGTTCTGTTCTTTCATATTTTCCATCTTACTTTCATTTAGTTTTGTAATACAAACCAGATTATCAGCTTTAAAAGCGCTGGTAGCAATCAGCATGCATGAGATGATTGATATGTCTGCCTTTTTCTAAAACATAATATTTGATTCGATACTCATTAATGTTGAAATATACTCAAGTAGTGGAATTTAGCTTTTAATTTTTATTTGCACAAATAAATAAAAAAATTAAAGTATTCAAACGGATTGTGATTGGGAAATATAGAAATACAGAAAATATATATAACAACTCTGGCAGCAGCTAGAATCCGAACCATGTCAAACTCAATTTCATCATTAACATTAAGGGGCTTTCTGTTTAGGGTCTGGGCCCCTATTTGAAAGCTTCAGATGGCCTATCTGGGGGGTTTCACATATCTATATTATGTTTTAGGATTGTGCTTGGATTTTTTTACATTTATTTATAATGCAGGAGAAAACCAGTGTACCTGGACAAAACCCAATTTTAGCTTATTTTAGGATTGTGCTTGGATTTTTTTACATTTATTTATAATGCAGGAGAAAACCAGTGTACCTGGACAAAACCCTTAGCTTATTTTACAATCTATTAGTGTGACGACCCCTTCCCTAGATTTGAATTGTGATCAATGGAAGTCATGGGTTGCTCTTTCTGTGAGCTTTTCCTAAAAGATGTGATAGGAGGACCTTGACAGAAACCATCTGGCCGTGCGTCTGCATTACTGGCATTAAAATGTCTGAAAAAGGAAACCACTCTCTTTCTCATTCGCTGAAAAACATTTCGCCTCTTTGGTAATCCTGTGTGCGTTTTGTCGACATCGCCCTGATCAGTAGGTGTGATGGCGGCTGCAGCACCATCGTTGGAATTAGGTGTGGACTTGTTGTGTGTTGTGTCAATATTGGACTTCCCTAGATTTGAATTGTGAGCAATGGAAGTCATGGGTTGCTCTTTCTGTAAGCTTTTCCTAAAAGATGTGATAGGAGGATCTTGACAGAAACCATCTGGCCGTGCGTCTGCATTACTGGCATTAAAATGTCTGAAAAAGGAAACCACTCTCTTTCTCATTCGCTGAAAAACATTTCGCCTCTTTGGTAATCCTGTGCGCGTTTTGTCGACATCGCCCTGATCAGTAGGTGTGATGGCGGCTGCAGCACCATCGTTGGAATTAGGTGTGGACTTGTTGTGTGTTGTGTCAATATTGGACTTCCCTAGATTTGAATTGTGAGCAATGGAAGTCATGGGTTGCTCTTTCTGTGAGCTTTTCCTAAAAGATGTGATAGGAGGACCTTGACAGAAACCATCTGGCCGTGCGTCTGCATTACTGGCATTAAAATGTCTGAAAAAGGAAACCACTCTCTTTCTCATTCGCTGAAAAACATTTCGCCTCTTTGGTAATCCTGTGCGCGTTTTGTCGACATCGCCCTGATCAGTAGGTGTGATGGCGGCTGCAGCACCATCGTTGGAATTAGGTGTGGACTTGTTGTGTGTTGTGTCAATATTGGACTTCCCTAGATTTGAATTGTGAGCAATGGAAGTCATGGGTTGCTCTTTCTGTGAGCTTTTCCTAAAAGATGTGATAGGAGGATCTTGACAGAAACCATCTGGCCGTGCGTCTGCATTACAGGAGATTTCCATGTCTTTCTCTCCACCACTCGAGTCAGTTTCATAATTATTGACAGGAACATCCGATGCATCAGAATGGTCCAGTCTGCAGATGGTCATCCACCTAACAGCATCTGTTACATAAGGGCTGCAGTCCAGGTCCTCCTCCAGGTGACCCATTGTTACAAAGCTGTGAGTCAGGGCTTGCTCGGGTGTGATTCGTGAGTTAGCATCCAGGTCAAATAACCGTTTAAGCAGTTGTACAAAGGCCATCCTGTCTTTCAACTCAACTCTGCCCTTTTCCTCTACGTAATCCTCAAATGCTTCATCCAAACTTGAATACTGGTCTAAAGCATGCTCTGAAATGTCGGACTCGACACCGGTTCCTTCCTTGTACTCCTCTGGCGTTTTAAATCTCCACTCTGGACTATTTTTCCGTTCCCTAATGAAGTACTTGGAGGAGAACTTTCCAGCATTTAGCAAGTGGTCTCCTGGTTGGCCAATAAGATGGCAAATTACTTTCATAATACAGTATGTTGAGCTGTCAGGGAAGAGGTGATCAGCAATATACATCTCTGTAATAATACATCCCAGTGACCACATGTCTATGGCCTCAGAAATGGGGAGGCCCAAGTTCACCTCTGGAGCTCTGTATTGTTGAAGTTGCTTTTCTGTTCCAATTTCTACTTCAGATGTTGGGATGGCCTCACCAAAGTCGATCAATTTAATCCTAAAGGGCTGATTCTGGTGGTTCACAAGCATGATGTTGTCATGTTTAAGGTCTGAATGAATGATGCCAATGCTCTTCAGGGCTTTGAATGCTACAAGTAGCTGCTGTGTGATTGGACGGATTTCATTAAGCGTATATGCTTTCTGTCTGTTAACCATAAAGTCCAAAAGGCTCTGATCCAACATCTCAAATGCGAGGCAAGAAACGTCTCCGAAAAAGAAATTGTCAATACATCTTATAAGGTTGTTCTTCTCTGGGTCAAGCTTCCTGATTTTTTCTAGCATTCTCACTTCTTCAACTTGATCTTCACTGTCTTTGTGAATCTTAATGGCTATAATCTCTGAGGTTTTTAGGTTGACACATTTTGCAACCTTGCCAAATCCTCCTTCTCCAATAAAGTCCAATACTCGATAGTCTGCAGACTTGCTGGAGATTACGTCTTCTTTCTCTACCTGAAATGTTTCAGAATTGTTTGAAACATCAGATGAATCTGAATGGTCCAGGGTCCAGATGCTTGACAAGCTACCTACTTCGTTTACAAAAGAGCTGCAGCCCAGGTCCTCGGACTTCCCTAGATTTGAATTGTGAGCAATGGAAGTCATGGGTTTGCTCTTTCTGTGAGCTTTTCCTAAAAGATGTGATAGGAGGATCTTGACAGAAACCATCTGGCCGTGCGTCTGCATTACAGGAGATTTCCATGTCTTTCTCTCCACCACTCGAGTCAGTTTCGTAATTATTGACAGGAACATCCGATGCATCAGAATGGTCCAGTCTGCAGATGGTCATCCACCTAACAGCATCTGTTACATAAGGGCTGCAGTCCAGGTCCTCCTCCAGGTGACCCATTGTTACAAAGCTGTGAGTCAGGGCTTGCTCGGGTGTGATTCGTGAGTTAGCATCCAGGTCAAATAACCATTTAAGCAGTTGTACAAAGGCCATCCTGTCTTTCAACTCAACTCTGCCCTTTTCCTCTACGTAATCCTCAAATGCTTCATCCAAACTTGAATACTGGTCTAAAGCATGCTCTGAAATGTCGGACTCGACACCGGTTCCTTCCTTGTACTCCTCTGGCGTTTTAAATCTCCACTCTGGACTATTTTTCCGTTCCCTAATGAAGTACTCGGAGGAGAACTTTCCAGCATTTAGCAAGTGGTCTCCTGGTTGGCCAATAAGATGGCAAATTACTTTCATAATACAGTATGTTGAGCTGTCAGGGAAGAGGTGATCAGCAATATACATCTCTGTAATAATACATCCCAGTGACCACATGTCTATGGCCTCAGAAATGGGGAGGCCCAAGTTCACCTCTGGAGCTCTGTATTGTTGAAGTTGCTTTTCTGTTCCAATTTCTACTTCAGATGTTGGGATGGCCTCACCAAAGTCGATCAATTTAATCCTAAAGGGCTGATTCTGGTGGTTCACAAGCATGATGTTGTCATGTTTAAGGTCTGAATGAATGATGCCAATGCTCTTCAGGGCTTTGAATGCTACAAGTAGCTGCTGTGTGATTGGACGGATTTCATTAAGCGTATATGCTTTCTGTCTGTTAACCATAAAGTCCAAAAGGCTCTGATCCAACATCTCAAATGCGAGGCAAGAAACGTCTCCGAAAAAGAAATTGTCAATACATCTTATAAGGTTGTTCTTCTCTGGGTCAAGCTTCCTGATTTTTTCTAGCATTCTCACTTCTTCAACTTGATCTTCACTGTCTTTGTGAATCTTAATGGCTATAATCTCTGAGGTTTTTAGGTTGACACATTTTGCAACCTTGCCAAATCCTCCTTCTCCAATAAAGTCCAATACTCGATAGTCTGCAGACTTGCTGGAGATTACGTCTTCTTTCTCTACCTGAAATGTTTCAGAATTGTTTGAAACATCAGATGAATCTGAATGGTCCAGGGTCCAGATGCTTGACAAGCTACCTACTTCGTTTACAAAAGAGCTGCAGCCCAGGTCCTCGGACTTCCCTAGATTTGAATTGTGAGCAATGGAAGTCATGGGTTGCTCTTTCTGTGAGCTTTTCCTAAAAGATGTGATAGGAGGATCTTGACAGAAACCATCTGGCCGTGCGTCTGCATTACAGGAGATTTCCATGTCTTTCTCTCCACCACTCGAGTCAGTTTCGTAATTATTGACAGGAACATCCGATGCATCAGAATGGTCCAGTCTGCAGATGGTCATCCACCTAACAGCATCTGTTACATAAGGGCTGCAGTCCAGGTCCTCCTCCAGGTGACCCATTGTTACAAAGCTGTGAGTCAGGGCTTGCTCGGGTGTGATCCGTGAGTTAGCATCCAGGTCAAATAACCATTTAAGCAGTTGTACAAAGGCCATCCTGTCTTTCAACTCAACTCTGCCCTTTTCCTCTACGTAATCCTCAAATGCTTCATCCAAACTTGAGTACTGGTCTAAAGCATGCTCTGAAATGTCGGACTCGACACCGGTTCCTTCCTTGTACTCCTCTGGCGTTTTAAATCTCCACTCTGGACTATTTTTCCGTTCCCTAATGAAGTACTCGGAGGAGAACTTTCCAGCATTTAGCAAGTGGTCTCCTGGTTGGCCAATAAGATGGCAAATTACTTTCATAATACAGTATGTTGAGCTGTCAGGGAAGAGGTGATCAGCAATATACATCTCTGTAATAATACATCCCAGTGACCACATGTCTATGGCCTCAGAAATGGGGAGGCCCAAGTTCACCTCTGGAGCTCTGTATTGTTGAAGTTGCATTTCTGTTCCAATTTCTACTTCAGATGTTGGGATGGCCTCACCAAAGTCGATCAATTTAATCCTAAAGGGCTGATTCTGGTGGTTCACAAGCATGATGTTGTCATGTTTAAGGTCTGAATGAATGATGCCAATGCTCTTCAGGGCTTTGAATGCTACAAGTAGCTGCTGTGTGATTGGACGGATTTCATTAAGCGTATATGCTTTCTGTCTGTTAACCATAAAGTCCAAAAGGCTCTGATCCAACATCTCAAATGCGAGGCAAGAAACGTCTCCGAAAAAGAAATTGTCAATACATCTTATAAGGTTGTTCTTCTCTGGGTCAAGCTTCCTGATTTTTTCTAGCATTCTCACTTCTTCAACTTGATCTTCACTGTCTTTGTGAATCTTAATGGCTATAATCTCTGAGGTTTTTAGGTTGACACATTTTGCAACCTTGCCAAATCCTCCTTCTCCAATAAAGTCCAATACTCGATAGTCTGCAGACTTGCTGGAGATTACGTCTTCTTTCTCTACCTGAAATGTTTCAGAATTGTTTGAAACATCAGATGAATCTGAATGGTCCAGGGTCCAGATGCTTGACAAGCTACCTACTTCGTTTACAAAAGAGCTGCAGCCCAGGTCCTCGGACTTCCCTAGATTTGAATTGTGAGCAATGGAAGTCATGGGTTGCTCTTTCTGTGAGCTTTTCCTAAAAGATGTGATAGGAGGATCTTGACAGAAACCATCTGGCCGTGCGTCTGCATTACAGGAGATTTCCATGTCTTTCTCTCCACCACTCGAGTCAGTTTTATTGATTTTCTCTACCTGAAATGTTTCAGACATTTTTGCTATAAAAGGTTCTTCAATGCTCTCTAAATTGAGTCGATTTAAAGTGGATTCCTTTGTCCTACACTGAATGTACCCAAATGTGATTCTTCCTGTAGGCATTTGGAATGTGACATCATTGTGAGTTCAAGGCAATACAACGCATCAAAGTGAACAGCATTCTAAGCATGACATCATCATGACTCCAAAGGATCAAGCCAATAGGATTCGAAATATATTCAAATGACATAAATATGATGACATCATCAACACAGATCCAAATGATTTTTAAATGTATCTTTTACAATAAAAAAAACAACAATATATTCCTGTTGTCCAATCCAATTTCTTTAGAAAAAAAGTTTGTTTTGTCATGCCAAAAATCCTGTCACTGAGACAGAGTACCACAGCTCCTTACTGCTTACAATACAAAAAACAATCAGTATTTAAATAACGCCTTATTTTAAATACATACAAAAAATAAAGATTATTCACTTAAAATCATCAGCTTGATCCAATCACTTTTGGTTTCTTCTTTACATTGCAGAATAAGTCTAAGAGCTTATTCTCGATTTTGAGCCTTGATTTCATTTTTGAAAAACAATGAACACTGTCACAAAATCAGCCGTTCTTTGCACAAATGTCTTTAAACTGCGTACCTCAGAATAATTCATTCCACTTTCCAGTGATGATCGACCCGACCCAGTCCCCCATGGTTGTTTTTGTGAACGGCATAGAGTGGTGAGGTGACGAGTCCTAAAACCCGGAAGTGAGTTAGCATTTTACCACTCGTAAAGATCCCTCGTCTCAGAGCCAATGGGATTTCTCCATAGGATTTTGGAAAAGAGCTGGAAATAAGGTCTGTGGTTGAGACACATTGAAGAGACGGATCACGTTTTGTTCTACGACATTAAATACATCAGCAGTGGTGATTTTTGAAGAGTTTACGTGTCTGAAAAACAATGGTTGTTAACAAGTGGCTGAATAGGACTACAGAAGTTGTGGAGGACATTGTAGGTCATTACACCGAACACGTAAACACTCCCGCTAAGTTTGTTTGCCCTGTTCTGCTTGAAAGCAAGTCCCTGCCTCCTGCAAACTGTTCAAACAAACAATTCAACTTGTTCAATTTTGAATCTGTATTTTTGAATATCGATCTTAAGTCGGCGTGACGTTGAAGTCCCTGCTGTAGTTCGTTATAGCATAACGTTAGCATTTTGCTTCTGGCGATTAGATTTATGATAAGAAAATTATAAAAGTAGGGTAGACATGTGGAGATTACTTCCGGGTAAATACGTCATCCCTGCACCACTCTACTGGGTGTTTCTCAATCGCGAGTAAAGCTGCTGCAGAGCCACTATTTCAAGCATACTACGTCATCGAGTGCCGCCGAAGTACTGTTCCAATCTCCAGCATACTTGGAAATCTACCGAGCCCGGCGTACTCCGTTTGGAGAAATATCGAGGCTGCACATGAGTAGACTCCGCGGTCTTAAAATCCCCACAATGCTTTGCGCACGGACCAATTTCCAAAATCTGTAGCGAAAGATGTAAGGCGGGGCCTCTCATATGACACACACCTGCACACTTGCTAGCCTGTTCCACTCTTTATTTTCCAAATGTCAGGAAGTATTCTTGACTCGCTTCTGAAGCAAGATGCTCGGCAGACATGTGCTACCAAGCAAGCGTACTCACGATTGAGAAACACCCTATAGAGTCGGGCAGGGATGACGTATTTACCCGGAAGTAAGCTGCGCATGGGTTCCATCGACAAAAAAACAATGGGATTTCTCCATAGAATTTTGGAATATTGTAAAAAAATAAGATCTGTGGAAAACGAACCTGTAAGTGCATGTTTTGTTCAGCCGGATAATTTCCACATGTCTGCCCTACATTTATAATTTTCAAATCATAAATCTAATCGCCAGAAGCAAAAGGCTAACGTTACGAAGATTTTTTTTAAATATTGAAGTTAAAAGCATCAATCTGGTGCACTTTGAGAGCAAAATGAAGAGATCTATGGATACATCTCTCAACACCCATATATGTAATATGAAACAGAACTTTAACAGATTTACTATTTCTTTATGGATATTTTACTAATCACTCCCCTTTTAAACTGTATTCTTGTTTTACTGTCATATAGAATTTCATAACTGTTTTTCCTTTATTCTCTTGTTTTTTTTAGAACTATAATGATCGTATGAAGGTGTGCCTCGGAAATAATCTTTTGAATAATTTGTGACCAAACCGTTTGAGACCCACTGAGATAATTTAGACTAAAGTTAACTATCTAAACACTCAGAGAGACCTATAGCTCACCTGAGTCTCTCAGTCTGAGAGGAAAGGACTCTCCTCCAGCTTGTTGTGGAACAAACAGCTCCTTATGTCCATTAGTGCAGCTAGCTAACCAGATGCTAACAACACGGTCCTCCCCTGCTGGCACCGGTCAACACGTTCTCACTCTCTCTCGCTCTCTCTCTCTCGCTCAATCACACTAAATGCGTGCAACTCTCTGATTGGTCTGGTGTCTTGCCTCTGTTGCATTCACCGAACACGGGAAATTACAATCCTGCCGTCCTCTCTAGTGTCATGATGAGGTTCAAGTAAAGCACGGTTAATGTATTATATTATTGAGGGACAATTGTCCAGGGCTACAAAAAAAACATTTGGGCCTTTAAGGCCAGGCGACGCCACTGATCATTATAGTTATTAAAAAATAAGAGAATAAATGAAAAACAGGTATGAAATACTATACTGTAGACAAAGAATACAGTTTAAAAGGGGAGTGATTAGTAAATATCCATAAAGAAAAAGTACATCTGTTTACAGTTCTGTTTCATATGGGTGTTGAGAGATGTAGGCTATACATAGATCTCTTAATTTTGCTTTCAAAGTGCACCAGATTGATGCATTTAACTTCAATATTTAAAACAAATCTTCCCCGGGGAGCATGCCCCCGGACCCTCCTAGAGGAGGTTATAGGTCCACCCCCCACCTAAAACATGTTCACATGGATAGGATACTAAATACATTTGCACACTTTTTATATGGTGGCCTATGGCCATATGTTTCTGTTTTGGTGGTCGTGCCACAACCGTGCATGTATGCACAAGTCATACAGTAGGTGCGCTATAAAATAGCACTACACCCCTGCAATGTGTGTGAAAGACAATAAACTTTACAGCATGTTTTGAAATTGAAGTTGCGTTGGTGTTTTTGTGTTGGTTGTTGACGGCAGTGTGCAGGGCCGTCCCTCCCTACAGGCTGATCATGCAGACTGCATGGGGCCTCACCTTGCGGAGGGGGCCTCATCTTGCGGGGGTAGCCTCAACTGAGCCGCAAATGCGTCTCAAATGCCTATGCGCTTATGCGGCGCAATTATACCCCTTTCACACCAACGCAACTCCGGTTCAAGCTCCGTGCTAGAGCTTTTCAGGTTCAGAACCGGTACTTCGGTTTAGCTCCGGCTCTTTTCACACCGCTCAGAGCCCGACTGGTGCTGCCGCTGCTGCGTCATGACGTCACAGTTTACGTCGCTGATTTTCACCCCAACGGAGCTCACCTCACAACAACAACGGGTCGATGATCGTGTTGCTTTTAATCATACGAAGCCAGATTAAATTAAATAACGACTTCTCCAACCTTATACTTTTCTCCAGAGTGCCGTGGTTCATTGTTTATTAATGTGTTTCAGCGGCATTTACCGACCGCTGCAGTGCTGCTGCTCTTCCATGAGTGTATTCTCCCGTTAGCTCCGGGTTAGCTCACACGGCTCTAAAGTATTCACTGTCTGACTGTCACACAAGCAGCTGATACATATCCCCAGTTCCCCTTAAGTGAATGTGTGTCAGTCTGAATTGACGCTGTTTGGCATCACAACGCTGTTATGAAAGTTTCTCTGGTATAACATGAGTGATGTTAGCATAGCAACCGAAGCTAAACTGACTACTTGCTAAGCCGTTTTCTACAGGCACTTTTTACCGGCGTATTTTTCATTATGATTCTACTTTTGATAGTCGGACATGACAACCTGTGCAGCCCATGTATTGATTCCATCCGATAGCTGCTATAATAACAAACAAAACGTCTGCCTGAATGCTCTCCACAATGATCAATGACAGCGAACGGATGGTCAAAGTAAGGTACAAATAAACAGAATCACACGAAGCCTGGTTAGTGTTGCCTGACTTTATAAAGCGTGTTTTTTTTTTACAAGTGTGTGGTTGCGTTCTAGTCACTTTGCTCAGCACTACTGCTTGTTACAACTTTTATTTGCCGTACTCGCCTTAACTGTTAGCTCAGGTTAATCTCGCCCCCCTCCGACGTAAGCGTGACGTATGCGGTTCTTGCTTCTAGACGGACAACTTTTTGGTGCTCGAAACGAACCGGATTCCGGAGCTTAGAGGCTGCTCCGCTGCGGTGTGAACAGGAAAACCCGGTGCTTTTCAAGCACCAGCACCGAACCGGCCCCGAAACACCGTTGGTGTGAACTCCGGTTCAAGCTCCGTGCTAGAGCTTTTCAGGTTCAGAACCGGTACTTCGGTTTAGCTCCGGCTCTTTTCACACCGCTCAGAGCCCGACTGGTGCTGTCGCTGCTGCGTCATGACGTCACAGTTTACGTCGCTGATTTTCTCCCCAACGGAGCTCATCTCACAACAACAACGGGCCGGGGACTGCGTTGCTTTTAATCATATGAAGCCAGATTTGTGCAATTTGAAATCAACTTGAATATTTCCATTTCTTATTAATCAGATTATTAATTAAAAAATGGGTAACACTTTATTTTGATAGTCCATAGTTAACACTCTATAAGTCATCAGTTGATATTCAACAGACATTCAACAACACTGTTTCAAC